GGCTGGTCTATTGTGCAACGCGATGATTGCATCCGTTCGGTGGGTGCGGGCGAGCTTTTTCTTTTCGACGTGATTGCGTAAGCTCGTAGTTCGCGGAAAGAAACGGGACAAGCGGTACCGAAATAAATGTACCTCGAAGGGGGACGTACCTATGTAAGCAAGTGCGTCTGTGCCTTTTTCTTTCGCTTACGATGCAACGTCTGCATCATGCTACGTGGGTCGTTATTAATGGACAACCGAACGTAGAACGGTGAACGTTCTCTTTAAAAGAGCACAATAATTGAATCGGTGTTAGCGTTTAACATTAAGCAACGACGCGATGCCAAGAGAAGCGTTCAGCTCGAAAAAACAACGATTCCCAATTAACGATCGAATTATTAAATTATTCCGCGTCGCTTCTAACGGGCCTCGGGTCGCACGTGCAAGAGGGTGCAACCCTTTTTCTCGGTGCATACGAGCCGAACGGCGAAGGAAAAATGAAAGTTTCGAAATGCCGCGATACGAGTTAGAACGCGGAACCTCGAATACGCGTGGGTTGATAAAGCAGCCGCCAAGCAGTCTAGCATTCTCTCTGCTAGTTCGGTCCTCGTCTCGCGGAGGATCATCGTTATCGTCTTTCGCTTTTCACCCTTCTTCGGCTCGTCAGCCTTGACTCTGCTCGGCCGTCCATCAACTTTGTCCTCCCCTGGTGAACATCACCCTTCGCGACACGACGCGACGACGCGTCGAGCCGCCGGTTCGCGCATGGAAGCGAGTAAACAGTAAACAGTCGATTTCAACCCTTTTCGCCTCGTTAACGAGTACAACGCGTCGCTAATCGTGCGTTAGCCACCGCGTTGCATCGAACCGCGATCTTTTCGATTCTCATTCTCGTTTTCTACGTTTCTCCCCCCTTCTCTCGTTCGCGTTTGCTGTTGATTACAGAATGCGTTTATGATTGTTTTTGAAAAACATCAACAGTTTTGCATAAGGGAAAGATTTCGACGCTTCTAAACATTTTCCCCTATTTCATTATTCAAAAGTATACACGCGTATATATCAATTGTCCGGGCATTTAGCCGGTTTTAGTCTCGTCACGGACCCACGGCAGACGCGAGTAGGATCGCAATACGATCTTTCTCTTTCCTTCCTCCTCTCGCTTTCCGAAATCTTTGCTCTCACGTCTCGGGAACAATAACTGCCCGTGGAAGGTGATGTCGCGGGAGACTACCTTTGTCGTTTCTCATTTTTACGCACCCTTCGGTTCACCCTCCACTTATTTTTCGACTAGGGTGTACGCGCGCATCGGTATGTCTCCCTTCAGAGCCCCGTTCGCATAGTGTCGTAAAATATTAAAAACCAAACGATAGGGTTCGGCCTGGCAACTCTTCGTAATGATAAAAATTAGACGGCGTGCCTTTCGCGACGAGGCGTACCGTTAGCGCGTTAATTAGCTGCGAAAGGAATTTCCTTAGGTGCACGGTCGATCGGCGATTCGAACGCGGGCGTCGCGTGCTCGACGCGGCTGGGCATAACTTTGAGAGAGAAGCGGAAACGCGCTGGGTTTCAGCGGGTCGATGAACACAAACGTTGTCGAGTAAAAGGTAAAGTCGAAACGCGCGCTGACACATTCATTATCCGATTGCGCTGGATTCAGTTCGCGTTCGTTCCTTCAGGAAGTGACGTCAAGGATTGCATACCGGCCGCGATACATGGGGGTTCAGTCAGGGTTCGCATTCCGTATACTGTAACCCATCAATAAATTTCTCGAATACACGTCGATCGTAATAATCTCTTAAGGATGTATGGGCTATAATACTTAAACGATGCTAGCATGTTGAATTTGTTATTATAGATTCCTATTACTATTAAAATGCAAAATTTTAAATAAATTCATGGGTTTTATGAAAAATTATAGTGACTTAAAATTTGCATGTACTCTTATAATAATCAGCAGTAACCCAAAGAAAACTTTCTGGTATTTGGTGTGCATGCCCGAAGTTGGAAGAAACAACTAACTTGAGGAAATACAAGCCTAAAAAGTCTAGAATTTTTTACGCTTTTTAGAACACAGTTCGATATTTTTCGATATTTTGAAAAAAAAAATTTTCGTCAGCGTCAATACTTAATTGGATATTTTCTTCTGTACTTTTTAGCACGTAGATATTTATTATTAGCATTATTCTTCCGACGTCTGATTTCTTTTTAATTATAGGAAATGCGTTTTTCTCAGGTACATAAACTTTTGGGATTGACTGTATAGCCAATCCTTAAAGGGGATGGTGGTTATTACATTTTTTTGGTATGGACAGACGAGTGATTCTAGACGGATAAAAAGTATTTCCGATTTGCAATGTACAGAGGAAAGGAGTAGTTCCTGGTTACTAGACGATTGCGTGGCTTGTTCAGCGGATCCCATCATTATGAATAGCCGTCCATGAAAGAACGCCTTTCTCCCACTTGTTCTTCGATGATCGAAACCAGCTGTTTTAGCATAAGATCGTTGGCTCGTCGCTTCTTTTAAATTTCGAAGGTGTCCTCGAGGCAATACACGCTATTTTCGCGTCGCGTTCTTGAGGCGAGGTCGATCTTCCATCGCACCGAGAACATCGGAGCACGGACACGCGCATACATTTACGCTTACGTAGCGACGAACGCTACGTGATTTTCGCTCGTAGCTCGGTGCGGCATGCACCGTGCACCGTGTATCGTTGATCGTAATCGTGATCAACGGCGCGATCGTTTAGCTGACCGTAAATTTCGTGGCACGGCGCGGTACTTCCCACGCGCGCCACGGAACTCGGTTCGAACGAATATTCGCGGACGAGCACCGACCTACGGAGAGATCGACCTACACTCGCGGACGCAGATTTCCACGCCGAAGCGAACGAATACGTAACATCCGCTTATACCTGCGACCTACTCTGCCCGTTAAGCACTTACACGCGATATACGTACAGTGTACATCCGTCGATGCCGATAGGTCTCCGCCAACGCCAGCCCGTGCCTTTTAGCATGCTCTCTCTCGTATACGTAAATTACGTTGTCGATAAAAACGATTCGGGATCGCGAGCAACCGTGTACGCGTGGAATAGAAACGAGCGACGACGTCGCGTATGCGCGTACTTACACGTGACGCGGGCGGAATATAAACGAGCCGTCGCCGGAGTCGGGATCGTTCGACGACGTGAGAACGCGCGCGTTATTTACGGTCGTCTAGTCTAGTTCGAGCCTGAATTAGGTGACGAAGTATGGGTCGCTAATTTGTTTCGATCGCGGATTCTTCGTCCGAGTTGAAAGAGATAAAGCTACGCGCGCGCCCAACTCTCCCCCGACTCGGTACACCGGGTACGACTTTATGCGCGAACACGCAGTTACTCTCAATTGCTGCGGTTGCGAAATGGACAGTGGAATTATCGTTTTACTATTCTTAGCCCGACTGGTTCGAGACAACGAAGAATAGCGTATGCAGAGTTCGATGCACCGTTCGTTCTCCGCCGGTCGACGAACGATAAAATCTTTTTGGAATGACTGCTAAAGAAAGAAAATACGACTCGAACTAATAGAGCTAGATCTGATTCCAAATGGAACCGCCCAAGCGAATCGATGCTTTTTCATCGAAAATTCCCTCTCCTGGTCCCCCCGCCTACTTATCTCTCATAGAACGATCATTACGATGCTAAACGATAATAATTAATCAGGCATTTGAAATGTCGTTATAGTGTAGCACTCACGAACAGACCCGTACCGAGCTTGCCAGATGGCCATCTCGCTTTCGCTCCTAAATGTAGACTCCGCGTTGACGTTGACTCGCGTGAACTTTAGCGAGTTTATTCGCGTTCATTCGTTAGACGTGAGTGAGTGAAATACCGATTGTAATGAATCGAGTTTGGTATCGTTGATAGCTCGAATTCTCGTGCACAATTAACACGGGTGATGCACGACGAAATGATCCCATTTCTTATCGTTCGAACGGCTACGCGCTTGCGGTAACATATCCGCGTTCGAAGAACTTAAATGGCACGTATCGAGAAATTTAATAAAAGGCAGGCGATATTTGTTCGAAAATAGGTCGAGGGGAAAGATTGCGAGGTAAAAAAGTTGTCTCGATCGTTTTCGCAGGAGTCGCCCGTAGGGTGGGAACTCGTTCAAACCGCACCGTAAATTAACTGGTCGCTCAGTTATCCGCGTTCATATTCTTCCTATCCTTCCATTTTTCCCATTCTTTTCATTCTTTCCGCGGGACCGGAATCTTGGTCGCCCTCCACCCATTCTAAATACCCGATTTTATCGATGGTTCGTCCAACTTTACGATAAAAAAGAATCGAATCACTACGTCAAAATGCAAATCCTGTTGTTAGTAAAAAATGATTAACCACGACGGATGTATTAGGTGTTTCCGATTTCGATAACGCGTATACCTAAATCGATATATGCATACGTCACGGTAAGCACGAGGCACGGAAGGGGAACAGTTTCGATTCGAGCGGCTCTGCTATAAGCGTGTTTGGTAGACGGGCAAACAGGATGCGGTGAATTCAGGTGCTAACGACGAGGCATTTACGAATCGATCGATCGCTCGAAAGACGCCTACCCTGCAGGAATGCGACAAAGGATCGCCATAAAATCCCAACTATCCGATTATGGTATACGCGACTCGCGTTCATTCTTTTTCGCATCCTTCGCTCCGAGGCAAGACCTGCCAAGATTCTTTGCCCGTTTAGGCGCGAGAACCGCGTCCAACTCCGATACACCGTATAATACCTTAGAGTTTTTTGGACGGAGATGGCTCGCTTGTTCGAGGATCTACGATCGATTCTGATAGAAATTTTAATTTGCTGGACGTTGATCGATAATTGGCCTCGATGAAAAGACTCGGTGATACGAGGCAACATTGCGTCGAGGCTTAGAGTTTGGGTATTACCGTCGACCGCGAGAAGAGACTCATCGACTTTCCGTCCAATCAACGTCACGAGCAAAACTGTTCGTTAACGTAAGACACGCCTCGCTTGCTGTTGCAGCAACGGACCGTCATGATATGACACTCGATTGAGAGAAAGAGCGTGCAACCGACGAGCAACCTAGTCCATCGCCCAGTCATCCCGGTCTAGCAGCCACCATGAGGAAGTTTCTGCTACAGTTTTTGGTGGTGCTATTGTTGGGTGTCAATGCCAGGCGAACGGACGCGGACGGGAACGGGGACGGCCACCCGCCTGCAGACGATGTCTACGTCGGTCAGCGTCGCGGCTCCCCTCACAAGTCTTCTAATTACAACAACGGGAACGGCGATTACAGCTCTCAATCGAACTCTCCGTATCTGCCGTATCAACCGCCCAGGGAGAGGAAGCCGAACATAGTTCTGATCCTGACGGACGATCAGGACGTGGAACTCGGTTAGTCGCTTCCCTATACGCGCACACAACGCTACCCCGTGAGATTTTAATTAACCCGTGGTATCTAATCGTAAGAGTATACGAGTATTTCGAGTTTTTCTTTGGACCCGCTTCTCTTCCATCTCTGTACACACGCGTTCGAATACGAGGCAAGGACCGGTGTGATCCCTCTCGAAGCTACTTCTGATCGTGTGTCGTGCGGTTGGTCCAATCCCTCAGGTTCGCTGAACTTCATGCCCCGGACCTTAAGGCGAATAAGGGACGAGGGAGCCGAGCTGAGACACGCATACGTGACCACTCCTATGTGTTGTCCGAGTAGGAGCTCCTTGCTGACCGGCCGTTACGTTCACAATCACGAGGTCTTCACGAACAACGACAACTGCAGCAGCCCTCAATGGCAACGAGATCACGAGCCTCATTCCTTCGCCGCTTACCTGAGCAACGCGGGATATCGTACCGGTGAGTAGGTATTCTATCGATGAACCGGTCTCTTTTCCGCGACTCCGTAACGTTCGACTCATTGAACGCAACCCGCGCGCGATAGACTCTTCGATTGAGTCGCGACGTCTATTATTTGGTCGCGCACAATTGAAGTCAAGTACATCCAATGCGATAAATCCTTGTTGCGTAAGCAGTAATTATTGCAAACGCGACAACGAGTCGGTAGCGTATCTTCGATCGAAGCCAGAGGTCGAAAATTGCACGTAGTATCGACGTCAACCAGTCCGTAATATAACGATAAAATCGGTCGTGGTTTCTCATCGTTTCGTCTCGTTGGACGTCGCGCGATCCCCAGCTGCACCGAGCGTAATTACGTGTCAACCGTGGCGCTCGCCCGGATCGGCGTAACTAACGTAGCGACGAATTCCCGTAATATCTCTCGGGGTTCGATCGCGTCCACCGATTGTACTCGCCTCCCTTGTTCGCTCGTCCGCTCGACGTTATCCCGAGTAATCTTGACTCTACTCTACACCTATCTCCCCCTGTTTTTCTCTATATCCGAAAATGGTTGTCTTCACGGTTGCATCGGATCGATCATCGGAGAACAATAATAATTCAGGAACCCACGGCGGATTGAATGCAGATGAATCGCGACTGTTCATCGATTGTTTGCATTGTTCCGTACGTTCAATGGACCGCACGCGTACGGTCCTCGTTGCGATGTCGTGTATCAATGAGAAGAGGCTCGATATACAATTACTTGTCTCATTGGCAAAAGGGGTAGCTGAATCGTCGAAATTTTTTTTTAAAAGGACCCCCGATAATCGGAAACGACCGATTAAAAGCTGAATCGAACGCGTAACGATGCGACGAGTGATTCTCGTTTTCGTTTCGAGGCAGACGTTAAATTCTATGCTACATCATTCGTTTTACCTCCGACAAGTTTACTTTGGTTGAAGCTCATTTCCTTTCCGAATCCCGGAAAATTACCTCACGATTAACGCGCCCACTTCGTTCTTATCTTCCACGGATTCGTTAAAAGAAATAACAGCCGACTGTTATCCGTTTTATGTACATACCTATAAGCGATCTACGCGGGTACCCAAGTTCGTTTCCCGATAAGAAACCACCGCTGCCGCCGCCGCGCTGGCTCGAGCAATCATCGTTGTACATATGTATAGGTATTTTACGGAGGTACGTAGATGCATACCAGTTTCTCGTTGTCGCGCTTATTCGTTTCGTTCGTGTTTCTAAACGATCGCGGTAATTTCGTCCCGCCTCTCGGACTTGGTACACGAGACATGCAAATTACCGCAAACGTTTCTACCGTTTAAAGTAGGATCTCTTTTTCCACGTTTCCAGTTTTTATCAAATACAATTTCCTTTGACGTTGGACCGCGTAAGAGGATGAAATTACCGCGAGAAACGAACATCTCGTGAGAGGTAATCTCCCTCAGAGATTATTCGAATTTTCTCGACGTACGGTCGCATGTAAGGAAAGAGATCGCGATTAGTGAAGGAACGTCGCGAAGGGGAACACAAATTTTCTCACGATCACGACGGTTGGACCTGTTCGATCGTTAGACAGGCTCCTGGTTGGGAGACCCGTTTCCCCGTTGTTCGTGCCACTGCATGCGCTACTCTACACGTATATACGATCATATTCGTGGAGTAAGGACGTTGCTCCCTGAAAGCGACCAGGTTCCTCGGCCTTTAGGCTTCGTACACATTCACTAGGGCTAGGAAATTGGCGTGCTTCCAAAAATTTCACCGATGGTACATCATATGCGGTTTCACGAATCGCGCGCTGTCTTCCCGCGGCTCCGCTGCCAAAGTACGCTGCTAATTATCGCGCGACTCCTCTTACGACGCTTAGTTCTTATATTCGAGGTAAAGTTAACTCGCGACTATGTGTGTACTACAATGAGTATACTGTTCTTCTGTAGAGCTTAAAACGACCCTCTATGAGACGTGTTTCAAACGGGTAATAATTAATCGAGTCCCCCTCATTCAGATAAATAATTATTATCGATGAAACGAGTTCGAATCTCACAATCATTAAGATGAATGTCATTCCATTTGATCGTCGCGTTGCGTCATGTGTCATGCTTCTACCTTTCCTTTTCTCGAAGATGAAAGACTGTTATTCTCATGAATTTGCTTCCTTTATTTTCATTTAATTCATCTACTTCAAAATAGAAGCTTTCGAGGCGTGGTTTATATCACCGAAGAGATACTACTAAAGAGTAGCAGTGCCTGCGTAACAGCGAATGGGACCCAATGGGCCTTAAAACACAATCGGTGATCGTTCCTTTCGGTAAAGTTATAAGGAAATTCTATAGGACCTTTCTTGTATCTGGCAATTGTTCAGCACCGACGAGTGTTTTGCTTTCTATTCCTTACTTCGGTGGCAATATATTCTATAAGGTGTAAAAAATTGCAGACCTTTTCGTGCAACACAAAGTCCCATAAGGCTGTCATTTTTTAGCAATGTCTCCTCGGTGGTTTATATGATGCGAAGCGTGACGACGAACCGATCGCCGGTACCTACCGAACGAAGCCCGCAGAAAGAAAGAGAACTGGTTTCGTTATCGTCGTCTGTCGTAAGTGTCCCTGACCAGAATACCGAGGCTGGCACAGGTCGACCGACAAATTTTCTTCGCTATCTTTGCAAGAGGATCTTGTCACGCGCGCATACGTTAGCCGGCCTCACCTTTAGGCCGCGTTCGCGACCCCACGGTGTGTCCGACAGCCGTGAAACTAGACCTGAATTTGCCGATGCTAATTAGGTACGAGAAACTAGTCCGTGATCTTTCCTCGCGTCGTTCACGAGCCAGACCGTTCAACGTTCGGACCTCGCCAATAACCCGAAACGAGGATAGAGTCGCGAGTATAAACAGCGAAACTACGAGCACCGGTTGTAAGTACCACCGCTCCTTTCACGAGCTACTCGATTCTCCCGAAGTCGTGGAGCTCGGATTTCGTGAATGCATAGAAGGATAAGAGCTCGTGTCGGAGCGACGAAACCCCGTGCGATAACTCTCGTGCTTCCGCGATCGATTTCGTGTCCCGTTTCAAACACGTTTCGAGATAACGCTAATAAGTAAGTTCGAGGCGTGGCCAAAGGCAAGCAATTCATTCAACGTATTTATTGTTCCAAGCCATAAAAAATATACGCCCAACAGCTTCCGTATCGATCTCGTTCAGTGAACTTAAATACATACAAGAGTACGTGTCGAGCATGGCCTTGAATGGCCTTGCGCTGTAGGGCAACGAACTTGTATAAATACCGACTATCGCCGTGCATGGTCATAATTACCATTCAGCAAACGTATACAAAATTTCTCTCGAACCCCGACCGTAAATGTAGTCAGAATTTTTTCGAGGAAAGGTTTCGACAGCATCTTTACGCCCTACGTCCTTCGGCGGTCGTTGGGTATAACGATAAGACCACACACGCATCGACGCATCGAGATTCGTCGAAAACCGTGCGAAGGTACCCATAGAATATATGTTCTGGAGTAGATACGAAGGTAGGATAACTGGATAGCCAAACACAATCGAATACGAAGAGAAGCGTTAGATTTAGAAGCGAGAACCAGCGGAGGAAACATTTGGTAGCGATCGGTTCGATGGTTGACGCTATACGCGTGGTACAGGTAGCTTCAGCTTCCTCTCTTCGGGTTAGACTCGTGTAAGTGAGATTATCTAAATTTAAATCGGCAAAGAAGAGAGAGGAGGCATTGTTCATGGCCGTGTTGCGGCTCGAGAGGACGGACCGCTAGGTTTTCGAGTGCCTCGCGTGCACCATGAACGAAAGAGAGGAACGAGATGCTGAAGAGCGAAACGAGTGGGTGAGAATGAAAAGAGAGAGACGGGGAAAGAGAGGGGAGGGGGGTATAGAAGCTCGAAGACGAGCCAGACTGACACGCTTGCTGGAGATACGTGCACGAGGGGTAGCACAAAAGGGCCCTCACGATGCAGGTGCAGATGCAGGTGCAGGAGTGTGGATTGGGGCATCGATTGAGCTTTTGCGATTCCCTCTGCGCTCCGCTGCGGCCTCGTAGCGAATCTGCGATTCGTTAAAAAGGGATCTAGAATCTCGTAATCTTATTCATATCGTTAAGAAATGACTCAACGATCGGGATTATACGAGGAAGACGCGATGGTAATAAGCCAAATGGGTCCTCGTTATCTGGGTAATCGCGTAACTGCGTAATGACGGTGTCAACGGGAGGCGCAGATACCATAAATGTCGTCGAGAACGTATTCTATGATTAATGCTCGAGAGAATCGTTTGCTGGAGAAGTAGGGGAAAATAACGCCCAAGCAAACCGGTGGAGTAATCGCATGTTAATTCCATGTCTTTCAATCGCGAATTGTCTGTTAATGCACACTGGACAAGAGAGTAAGAGACGTTTCGAATCTTTCCGAGAACTGTAAACGATAACTTCTCGGTGCATCCACGATGCTCGTATTTGTCGAGAATATGCGATGAGCAAACAACCCGAGGGAGGAACATCTTGGCTGACGTTCACGCTTCCCAGAATCCTCGATACAAAGATACCTGTTTAACTCCTTTCGCGTATTTATCGCCTTCACAGTGCTCGTACATTCTTATTTGTCGTAAACCATTTGCTGCGCGACTTAAATCATTCAGCGGAAAGTTAGACAATCCGGTAGACACGCGAGCGATCGACGGAGGCACCCTGACTAAAAAAGATGTTTAATACTCTTTGCGCACGAAAACGGTCGGTCGAAGTAATAGGGGGAGGACCCATTACCATTTGGTTCATCGCGATACGCCAAATATAGCTGCGGCTTAGTAAACGCAACCCCAATTCCGCCGATGCCGTTTGCTAATCCTAACGCGTCGGAGTCGCTTTCGTGTCGAGGATGCGAAACGAGGGGTGCGGAGACGACCCGAAGCGTGCAATCAACTTGGGAGTTTCGCTTCACCCGATTTATCGTTGCAGATGTAATTGCGGTGTATTTTACGAGTGGATTCACGAATAGTCTCGTACGAATTTTTGGAAAATCGATGGATTCAATTTTCAGAAGATGAAACTCGAGTAAAGACGTAGCTTGGTTACCTGTTGCTTCTCAAACGGAAGAGGTAAAATCAATAGCTTTGTTCGAAGGAAAAGCACGGATGAGAACGCAAAAATAAAAGTTGGTTAGACCGTCCATAGAAGAACGTAAAGAGCCGAGACACGGTTGTACGATCGGTCTGTTCGACAAAGCGGGACAAAAGAACGAGCGGTAATATCCTGGCGCCAGTCGCGGCCCCGAGTCGATCTCCTCTTTCTCTTCCGACAAACAAAACGAAAGAGTATCCTTGCAGGGAGAACAGCTGACTCGTTATAATCGTGGTCGGTCGATATAATAACTGTGCTGCCATAAATATGAGTCATACAAATCCGTGAGGAAGATCCGTTGATTTGGAAACGATTCCGAATTCTCACGGTTTCATAACGCGTTTATGCGACGATTCTAACGTCGGGACGGTAGCGGGAACGTGATATTTTCGCTCGGATTTATGCACTCGTCGGCTCCCGGATGATTTACCGTCCTTTATATGCTCGATGGGGAGGTCGGTCTTCTTATTGAGACGTCATCGGTTAACGTAAAACAAGAGTAACGCGATCGAGCCAGGTCGGTGGTCCTAGCTTGGCAAAAAGCTGTCCTGCTCCCGAAACGGCTCCTCTCGTCGCGCAACTGTTATAAATTCCGCTTACAAGCTGTTCGACGGCGGAACGGCTACAGGTATGTAAGCGCTACGATCCGCGACTACATACGTATGAAAGTCCGAACGGTGCGGTATCTTCGAATCAATTATTTCGCGTTGTCCGCGATGAATAATTCAACGCTATCTTCAGGAGATGAATCTAGACTCGAAATAAACTCGGGACCGGTAAACCAACGTGGCCAAGCGCACTTCCCTAACGCCACCTCAGCTACGAGAAAATGGGATTGGTCTCTGATTTATCGCGACCCGAGGAAAGGGAAACTTTGCACGGTCGTTCGTGCGGGCAAGTAAAAATTTGATAGGCCCAGGTGCTCGGCTGCTGGGTCACTTAAAAACCAACACGATTTTACGGACAATAATGTCGGGAATCAACTTTCGACTCTCGTTAAGATGAATTTAATCGAAGTTGCATATCTCGAATGCATGTTTCAGGGTATTTCGGCAAGTATTTGAACAAGTACAACGGGTCGTACATTCCGCCCGGTTGGCGGGAATGGGGCGGACTCATAATGAATTCGCGCTACTACAACTACAGCGTGAACATGAACGGCAAGAAGATAAAGCACGGTTTCGAGTATACCAAGGACTACTACCCGGACCTGATAGCGAACGACAGCGTGACTTTTCTACGCCAGAGTAAACACAATTTCGCACGAAAGCCGGTGATGCTGGTTGCCAGTTTCCCGGCTCCGCACGGACCGGAAGATTCGGCGCCGCAGTTTTCCAATCTCTTCTTCAACGTCACCACTCATCAGTAAGTATGTCGTTTTTACGCTTGGCTACGGGATGCAGTTGAATAGGTACGTAAGTCGGTTCGTTAACTCGGAATGGAAAATTGTGGTGGATTAATTCCATCGCTTTTCATGCAACGTTTTACATTTTCCTTTGCATGTTGCGTACGAGTATACGCACGGCGGTAGGTTGACGACGCGCGCGTACTATATCCTGCCGATAAAAGTTGTACACGCGAATGCCAGTCGTTCGACGAGAAACTTTTCTCCAATCGTTGACCATTATTCAGGCGTCACGCCGTTTCCGACACGAATGCACGCGTAACAATCGTAACTAGGACGAGCAATGTTCGTAACGCGATCAGCTTCGAGAGACGTAACGCGGATCGTAGACTGAGGGAAAACAAAAAATAGTCTTTGGACGATTTAACGGTGAGCGAATGAACGAAAGGGAGAGGGCGGAGGGAGGGTGTAGCCCAGAGGAGGAGAGGCGAAAAACGAGAGACACTCTAGACTAGACAACTGGATAGATAACTGCAGCCACCGTGTCATCGTCGCATGATGGAGTGCCCTAGACGGGGTGCACTATGTACAATGAAAAGCGCTAAAAACGTGCACCCCTCTTGGTACTGGAATTCTCTCGTCTCGCCCCCTCTGGACAACGCCTGTCATTGTACCGTGTACCTCCGCGACGTAAGTATTATATTCACCTGTCTCCTTTCTATCAGAAAAACCGTTCTCTATCTTTATTGTACACTAGCATCAGTGATTCTCCCTGTTCTGTTTCCTCCCCTCGTCTCACATCCTCCTGTGCTTTGCTCGGTTGTTCGGTGGACGCCATCGCCAGGCGTATTACCTCCGAATCGGGTACGATTCAGGCAACGAGAAAAAAAGATACGGTAGGGTTCTTTTGTCAACGAAAGACTAGGGAAGTATTTTTGTCAACCGATGTTCCTCCGCGTTAGCATCGATTTTATAAGAAATATCTCCACATTTTGTTCTGTCCTCACGACATCGCGTTGCGCGTCTCGTCGATCGCGAATGAATACCGTTTCCATTCAACGATTTTTTCTTTGTCCCTCTCGGTCTACACGAGGAACGAACAGGAAGCTGCTTCTCTGTATATGTCTGGGCGAATTTTTTAAGAACACGATGCAGGTGTTTTGCATGTTTAGAATTAAACGCGTACGTGCAAAATAAGCGTCTCGGGGGAAAGAGAACAGTTTTGTATGTACCATTTCATTTTGTGGACAATTGAAACGGAACAATCGATCCGATACGGATTTTCGAAATAATTATTCTCCTCGTTAGGAGCGCAAGTGTTTTCGCGCGCTGGGAAATCGAGAGCGAGCACAATGCAGTAAATTATAATTAAACGCGATCCATAATGCGGCTCGACACTGGAGCCGTTCGGAGAAGTTACGGGGGCGACGCAAGTAGTTTAATTCCATAACCGGGGTTTTAATTCCACGCTCATACATCACACCATTCTCTTCTGCCGTCGTTCAAAAGCCAATCGGATGAATAAGTGAGAGAGAGATAGAGAGAGAGAGAAGGAACGAAATTAATGCGTTCGCCGCAGCACGTGCAATTACGTGCATTCACGACGATACACGACGCTTTTGACTCGCCTTTGCTTGCTCCGAAACAGTCGTTAACCAATCCGTGTTGTTTCGGCAAATTAATACTTCATCTATTACGAAAATCAGTTTTCTAGCAACTCTTGCAGTTTTCTTCTTTCGTCGTTTCATTCTTGTCACACGTCGATCGCGTTTCGTCGCGATCGATCGCGAAAGTTCCGTAAAATTTTACAGGCCTATCCGATAGGCGGTCGCCCTACTGGGAATTGTGAATACGGCGGAGTTTGCATCGAACGAAACTCGATTGAAACCGAGAGGTGCGCGAGGATTTTCAATCAGGTTCGGAGAAAAAGGCGAAACGCAATTTAGTCGCGAGAAGGAAACGAGGCGTTTCCTATCGGACACCGTCGAACGGAACTTGTGGAAATCGGTTCCTAGCCAGATCCACTTAAATAAGAAAGACGTCGGAAACTCGGAACGTAATTAGTATCTAGATCCCGCGGCCGATGGAATTTCAAAAGAGGCGTAACAAAATGCTCGCTGTTGTCACGTAACGGAGTACTCGATACATAAGTATTGCGTATTCAACGAAGCAAAAGAAACGCGGAACAGTCAACGAACAGAGAGGACGTCAATGACCCGAAGGAGAGAAAGCTACTTCATTCGGTGCATACATCTATCCATTCGTAACGAATCGATCTGGCGAAGTTCTCTCGTGCCAACGAGGTCAAGATAAACGAAACGCGTTGAATGACGCGTGCACTTTTCGAACGAACGCCTTAACGAATGCGATTTAAATCCAAAGCTAACGAGAAAGCAAAGTAGACGATCTTTTATCGAAAAGAACAGCTAAGCTCGATCATGCATGTATGTATAGGATTCCGATCGAAAGAGGCTTAACTGCACGTAAACGCAAACTAACGTTATCTGTACTTTCCATCGTTGATCATGTCGGTGATCAATTCAAGGAAAAAAAGATTATATTTATGGTTCTATCGATTAAGGAAAGTGGAAGCCGAGGATGGTTTCCACGGGAAAGATGCACGACGCGACGACCCGGGCAAGGCCAAAGATACGTCGCCGGGTGCCACGCGTCTGGGTGCAAATATAATCGTCGAGTGTCTCGCGGGAAAGTTAAGTGGCCGTGGCGAGCTTTTGCACAGGTACAAACAGAATGAGTCGCAATTAAGGTGTCCAGACGAAATACGGCGTATATGCGGACGTAAACCGGAGAGCGGGCGCCGTTCCGTTTCTATTCTCCGTTCGAAAACCAGCGTCAGATTGCGCGCTTTATTTTAAATTCGCATAAAGCGGCGGCCTTTGCTTTACGACTCCCCCACCCGAAACGAAAGCATCGAGCGCGGGAAGGTTATATCCGACGAAATTAATGCGTACCGTGAAAACCTCTTCTCCTTTCAAATTCAACCGTCGTCGCTAGACTCCTTTTGCCGGCTCCTTTTTCCGCGCTGCAGATTCGTTGTTCGAAAGAAACGATCTCCTTGGCTACCTTTAGATTTCGTTTCGCGGCCCGTACTTTCCATTCGAATTTATCGTGGCAGTCAAGGAGGGATTCGGAGCATTCATTCGGCCAGTCAGTAATACGCTCCGTATTGGTCAGAACCTCGATGATTACGTTGGAAACTACGCGCTTGTCCGTTTCATCTCTCATTTCTGGCGAAAATCGTCGAGCTTTTTCCTCGCTGGCAGAAAAATTCCTTTGAAGCCGCGTTGCATTCTGTTAGGCCGAGTATGAATTTCGAACGAGGAAGTGGAAAACTCGTTTCTACGTCCTGTACGAAGGTCCAACGATAAGATAAAAATACAATACATTCAAGAACAACGCCCCCAAAGTGGTCGAAGGCCGCGAGGGAAGGTGAAGAGGCAATTACTTATAATTTCGTGCCTCTCCTAATCGACGGACAGAGAAGAAGAGAAAGGGGGTTTATCCACACTATCTTATTTCGAAAGTCCGCCTACCGTTGCATCGAACACTCATGAATGCTTCGGATCAATTTGATTTTCTGCGAGTCTTAGCATTCGAGATAAATTCTTCAATATCTCGTTTCCGTTTCAGTACTCCCGCCTACGACTACGCTCCGAATCCTGACAAGCAATGGATTCTACAGGTGACGCAGAAAATGCAACCCATTCATAAACAGTTTACGGATCTCCTGATGACCAAAAGGCTTCAGACGTTACAGAGCGTCGACGCAGCAGTGGACAGGGTACGAGTGTGACTTGCACGCGTTTAAATAGAACCTTTTCCTCGCCAACGCGTCTCGTTTCAACGTTCACTTATTTTCTCGCGTCCGTCCGCGTTAACAGATTTACCAGGAACTGAAAGACTTAGGGGAATTGGACAACACGTACATCATTTACACGTCCGACCACGGTTATCATCTAGGACAATTTGGCCTGATCAAAGGGAAAAGTTTCCCGTTCGAATTCGACGTACGGGTACCGTTCCTGATCAGAGGACCCGGGATCGAACCCGGCACTATGTAAGTACTCATGCACCCAATTATTTTCGTTCCACGTAGTCCAAGCTATGACTCTGATTCTGGGAACCACCGAGAAACGTATCGTCATACGTAGATAGTTACAAGTAGGACAAATGAACGAGTCATCGCGATCACGACTTGTGCGTGAAATTATAAATCATGCAGCTCGGATCCAGTTTAATGTCTACATTTAGATCAATTGATTCGTTGGTAGACTGGAATTTACACCGAGGCGAGATGTTTGGAATTATTAAAAAAGTGACTGATCGTTTTCGAAATTTACAATTATACGTATGTGATAATTATAGAGCGATAAATTATTCGTTGCGAAGTTTGCAAAGAGAAAACGAAAAACTGATCGTTAACAAACTGACAAGACACTACCGGTTAGGATTGCCAAATTACAGCGCAAACTCGAACCGGAGCCCGAGTTATTCGCGCAAACATAAATCTCTCTTTCTTCCTTTTTCCTTCACTCTCTTAGTATAGCATGCATTCCGCATATAATCGTTTTTTCATTCAATAAGGAATCTCCAATTTCTATCGTAAGGAAGGAAGGATTTAATCGAAAAATCCAATGCATCACCAATAGATTGAAAGGTTTTCTTAGGTGGTTCGTTGAATATTTTCATTCTTATGTCCGAGCGCAAGATATCGGAGGGTGATATTGTTTGACTTGATATCGCAAATATTATGTCTGATAGATAAGTTGTCTTGAGGCCGTCTTAGGACTTTTCTATCGGTTGTTTATATAACGTTACGATTACCTCTTCGAGGTGCGAGTCGCAGTGCTGTGCGATCACTTTAATTCGATTTTGAAGGGAACTATTTGAAACAAGAAATATGTACGTTCGAATATTCGAGGCAGTTTTTCTCGTTCTGGCATTCACCTCCGGGACGAGAAAGCGTGCCACGATATTGGATTAAATACGACGAAATCTCCATGTATGAACCTGACGTTGCAGAGTAGACGACATAGTTTTGAACATTGACTTGGCGCCGACGTTCCTGGACATAGCTGGCGTCGAGACGCCGCCGCAGATGGACGGTCGTTCTTTCAAGAAACTTTTTCAGAAGTGAGTATACTGCCAATTTTCTCTGCGGTAGGTATTGCGCGATATCCATGCACATAAAATAGTAGTAAGTTTTATCCGTTCTAAAGATTACAAAATATGTAAATTAGACGAAATAGATAGAAAGGAATACCAATTTTAGAACCATTTGAAACGGTTTTCAAATTGATATGTTGCAGTAAACATGGGAGGAGATCGAAGTTTAAGTGGCCGGACACGTTCCTGATCGAATCTTCCGGTCGTCGAGAGACTCCCGAGTCGATCGCAGAATCGAAAGCACGAGAAGCCCGAAAACAAAATCAGACGTTGGTTAAACAGTCCGCGAACGGCACACCAGAAGCGGACGAAGAGAATCAGGACACGGAACATGAACCCGAACCAGAGCGTCGATTCTTCGAAAACGACACGGGTAGCGATCAGGATATTTCCGAAGACGAGGACTTCGATGATTCCATTATCGATGAATCGAGTAAGAATTCATTTTCCTTTCCCATTAGAAGATTTTGTAACTACAAAACGATAATACCTTACAGACTCTGATCCGCATTTGGATAACGGCGTTCATTCTGTTCACTCGTCGTTCTCGACGAAACATGAAAGATTGGCCGTCGAGTGTTCGAGACCGGAAGCTCAGGCGAGCTGTGTTCCGGGTCAGAAATGGCGTTGCGAAAGAGACGGTCACCGATGGAGGAGGCACAAGTGTAAATACGCGGCACCTCCGGCAAGGATATCGAAGAAATGTGCATGTTTTACGCCAAATGGTGTCGTATACACCAGATTGGAGTCTAGCGATTACGATGGACATCGATATGGATTTGGCAGGGATAGGAGAGGACCGTCTGATGTATACACCGATATGGCCAGATACTTCGCAAGAAGAGGTATTTGGAATCCGTGAATGAAACAATATAATGAACGTAGAATTCATGATTTTCAAATAATAATTACAATTTATAATATATGTATTCAGGTAAACGAGACGTGGAAGCCATAGCCAACGAAAATGCTAGTCAAGATTTAGATAGGAACGATGACTGCCATGAATACTATAATGATGGTGACCGAGACCGACGTGCCATTGACGAAGAAGATGACGAAGACTTCTTCCAAGAATTACTTAGTCTCACGGACGATGTCAAAAGAGATTACGTTGACTTGATCTCTAGGTATAACGCTTTTATTAAAATTCGATGTTGGACAAATTCCAAACGTTTGGTGAATGTGATTTCAGGTACGAGTTCGATAACAATCGTACATCGGACGACGAGGCACTTAAATTTGACGATTTGAACGAATTGAAATACTCAATCGACGACTTTGATACCAGCTTAAATAAGATCGTGAAAGGTCGATTGAACGTTGAAGATGTAGTGAGGAGACACAGGAGGATACGAAGAAGCGTCACGAAGAAAGACAGCGTTGAACATGTAACTAAAATTATGGAGAGCATCGAAGAGGAGCTGGACGACCTAAAGGTATGCTGGATCACAGGAATTCCGAAAGATATCAGATAAATCAATGTTACGTGTTTAGGCAACTCAGGCTAGACGAGCAGAGACGAGAAAAACGTTGCCATCGAAATGTTCGGTTCTACCACAAGGAGGAGTGAACTGTTCGGAAACCGTGTACCACGATCCGAACGAGTGGCGAATTTCGAGAAGAGAAATCGAGCAGCAGATCAAGGAGATGAGGATTCAATTAGAAACTTTAAAAGTAAATCTTTACATAGCGTATATACAACATACGTACAGTATCTACAGTATTATATCTACATATTATATATACTTTTTAGGATATTCGTCGTCACCTGATGACCAAACGACCTCAAACAATGCGAGACGCGGACGATGGACTTCATAACGCGGAAGAACCTCACAAATCTCATCACCACACTTCGAAAAATCATACGAATCGTCATCATAAAAAATATGATCGCCCCAGCGTCGATGCTGCGACGAGTACTGTTAGTTCCACCGGGAAACAGAATCAGATTACGGACGATGATACCGCGTATACAGATATAACAGAGAAACCTAAATTTGCGTTTACGGAGAATCTTAATACCGATACGATGACCGTAACCGAACCGACCGTGACCGTCTCATCTACGACGTTAAAACAGAAGAAGTTTCCTCGTCGTCAGAAGGTAAAGGAATCTACTACCGTTAACAATAGGACAGCAATTGACGATGACAGACCTCAGAGACGTAAGAAGGTTCATCATCATCATCGAAGGAACAATACCTTGTTCACGAACAGCGTACACGACGAGGTACCGACCATAAGCGTTGGCGAAACGGTCGAGACGACTGCGACAACGCAGAGCACGATCACAACTCAGAAATCTCAACATCATCGTACGAAATATACGACTTTTCCTGTTACGACGATGAGGGAGACCACGTTTCAAAGGGAGACTGGTGCTAGTTTAGGAACGACGAACGATTTCGTCGAAGAAAATGAGAGTACAGTGGGAATGGGAATAGAAACGCGAACGGTAGAATCGACGGTGGTGTCGGAAACGCCTAGTTTCGCCGAGTCAACGGATACGCAAAAGACGACGCCTGTATTTTCTACGACCACCGAAACTCGTTCCAGGACTGTGTTCCTGCCGACGACTGCGACCACAGCAACTCCTATGACCACGGTCACAGCGACGTCGAATAAAAAATTTTCAAAGGTCCAGAAGAATAGGACGGCGGGGAACGGGCTTGGACTTTCCAGAATCGACGTTACCATTTTGGAATCCCCCGACAGGAGGCACAAACAAGGTTTGCGAGTACTTGAGTTTTATTATAACATAGCTAGACTTTCGCTGAACGCGATGTGTTTTTCTTGGTAGATGCGTTGGAGACGGGAAATGGTAATCGCCGGTTACCCCCGATGTTGAATAATCCATTGGAGGCACGTCATAAATGTTATTGCGAACCCGATACCTACGCGAAGAAGGATGAGAAGGAGATCGCGCGAGAAGAGAGAAGGAGACTGAAAGAAGAACGTTTAAAGAAGAAGGAGAGGAAGCTGAGAAAAAAGGCGAAGCTCGAGAAGGAATGTTTGACCGAGAAAATGAACTGCTTCGAACACGACAATGATCACTGGCGTACTGCTCCTCTATGGAGCGCGGGTCCATTCTGCTTTTGCATGAACGCCAACAATAATACGTATTCGTGCATTCGTACCATCAACGCGACCCACAATTTCCTTTATTGCGAGTTTACCACCGGTTTAGTCACTTACTACAATCTGAGGATTGGTGAGTGTTTTTCTTTTGAAAACGAACGTTTCGAAGAGAGTACAATTTCGTTATCTCGGACTTCTTATTTATTCAGATCCGTTCGAACAATGGAACAGAATTTCATCTTTGACACCCGCGGAACGATCCTACCTCCACGACCAATTGGAGCATTTGAAGGGTTGCAAAGGCACGAGGGATTGCACGGTTGGAAGCGCGAGGGAGGCTTTGCCACAGCCGCAGCAACATCAGAGGTTTATTTCAAAGAGGAAATACGCGAACACGTTCGGTAAGCGTGTGGTTGTTTAAGGATGTATTGGCTATACAGTCAATCCCAAAAGTTTATGTACCTTAGAAAAACGCATTTCCCATAATTAAAAAGAAATCAGACGTCGGAAGAATAATGCTAATAATAAATAGCTACGTGCTAAAAAGTATACCGTAAGTCCAACGGTTTAGGAGTTATTGGCAAAATCTCGAAAATTTTTTGTTGTTGTTTATTATTAGCATTGTTCTTCCGACGTCTGATTTCTTTTTAAAAAATGCGTTTCTAAAGTGCATAAACTTTTGGGATTGACTGTATAGCCAATACATCTTTAAGTATGAGTAAAAATGCGGTACTACAAACATATTTGTCATTTGTTATAGAAGACATGTTCGTACCCTCGACGTTACAAATCATTCGCGAAAGCGAGCTTAACAGCCCGCCGAATAAAAGACGAAAAAAGTTACAAAAGTAAGTAAATTGCCCGTATTTACAGTGAACGCGAAATAAGAATTAAGGAAAGAATCAAATATTTTATTCCTCTGTTATCTAACAGTGGTTGGAACAGGCGAAGCAGGAGCTGGCAAAGTAGTTGGAGATATCATCAAGACGCTGCCAATTATAGACGGCATAGACATCAGTATTGATCGTGATTCGTTCGTTTGTTTGCGCGACAGCATTGCCTTTTGTTAGACGTATGTATATTAATTTCGCGATGCATTTAATAATATAATTTATTTAGCGATATTTAATTCAGAACGGTCGCGTGATATTTAATTAAATATGCGCTAGATTTTTCCCATTTATCGAAACTCGTGTCAACGTCGACCAGTATAGACCGTGTGTTATACTTTTCGTGCCAAAATTAACGACCTATCCGTTAATTAATTTCTATGTGTATTATATCGCGTTTTCGCGTGCATAAAAAACTGTGTAAACGATCGTTTTTGTTTCGTCATTTAGTAACCGATATTTTTTATAATAATTTATCTATTCTTTAAGTCTTTTTACATGATGACTCGGTTAAAAACCGATACTTGCCTAATTTTCGAATAAATACGAAAATGATTAATAAAATCGATACTAGTAGCTTTTAGAAGCGAATAGAAGGAGGAAAAGAATCTGATTGTGAGAGTTCGGGCTTAGGATTCAAACTCGGATTCGTGATCGCGAATTGAAACGCACAACGAAAGAAGAGTACGCAATAGTAAAATCGTCCTGCCAAAAGATCTTTTGCATTTTCTTGCAGAAATTTCTGTACACCTATACCTTCCGCCACTGCCACGAAATGTTTTACAATCACCTTAGCCGAACATTATCCATATATTTTAATTAGGAGCAGGAAAGATTGATTTAAGCTGATCTAAGACTGTATATCGTTTCTTGTCTTACTACAATTACAGTACTTTGCTACATCTAACGGTCTCCGTTATAATAAATAAAGAATGCTAATGGGAGCATATACATCACTGTTTTAACGATTGCAGAAAGATATCAAACCGTATATGATTTTCAACACGAATTCTATACAGTCAAAACATTAAACATACTCTCCTACCGTAAAAGAACTAAGTTACTGCGGACGTTAGCATTTTATTTTCTTTACACGCAAATTGTCTGTGTTATGTACTAGAGTCTCAGCTAGTGTCCTGAGAATATGTTCGAGGTTTTGAAAAACTAAAGCAATGTATTTAAATCATGTGAAATAAATAAGTACTGTCCAAATCTTATATCTTAGTCACTAGGATAAAAGAATAAAAATTCGTACTGTCTATTACTTGTATTTAATTTTCAATAGATTAATAATATGAAACCCTAGAAATCAATAGTTAAATCAACATCCTCGTTAGCATCAAAAATGTTTTTAGTACATTTCATTTCAGTGGTATTATTCTCATGGAACTCATTATTCTTGCTATCATCGGCACTATATGATACACTTTCTATCATTTCCCCTGATACATTTTTGAATTCAGTTTTTTCGTCGTAATCAAATGATTCATCGCCATTATTTAAATCAACAGATTCGTTACTCGCGTATGCACGCTCACTTTGCGATTGCGAGTACGATTCATTATCGTTATCAACGACCATTACATAGCGAAATTTTTCAAGTTTGGAGCTACTCGTAGCAGGTTCGAAAGTATCGTTTGGTACATCTAAATATTTTTGAAACTTATTTTCAGTTACGTTTAACGCCGATTGATTGGAATAGTCGTTGCTTTTTTCAAGCTCATTAGCGTTTGTTAAATTTAATTGCTGAACAAAAACGCGACAATCCTTCCCCGAGCCTTGAAAATAGACCTAAAATTTCCAATTGTCTAATCCTATGTATGTAGTATGGATATGGTTCTTCGCATTAAACGATGATGCGAATTAACCCTCCGTCTACTGTCGGGGTCATGAGTTTCGCGACCGAACTCCTCGACTCGAGAGTGATAATACAATGACGGAATGCCTTGTTTTTCATGAGTTTACTTATCTCTTAGACGCAAATGTGTATTAGTGAAATATCGGTGTGGGATAGAAATAAATCCGCCATAGAAATTCGCAATTCGGTAGTCGGAGGGTTAAGCAATAAATTATCTTTTTAACAATATTTACAAAAGGAGACTTACCTGGGAAAATGCCTGCTTGAAATTACACATTTTGCATTGCCATTTCTTTGCTTTCTTCACTATGTGAGACTGAAACGTAAACAGAAATTCATTATAAAAAATGTACATATGACATTTCAACGGATGATTGATATGAATTGATTGACGATTGGGCGGTAATGATTACCTGAAACATTTTACACGAAGAGCAACGTAAAATATTCATTTCTTGCGGTATGATGTCACAATTTATACGAGTTTAATTATCGGCAAACCTGTTAAAATTAGCGAAATCACACCAACTGATCTTCCTTCAAACCTTTCAAACCTCGAACTGCTTCGGGCAACTTCGGATCACCACGAATATGGCAGCGTAGTGTGGCCAACATAATTTCGGAAAGCTTCCGGCGGGAAGTCGCTTTTCTTAAGAATTTCACTTTGGTAAAGTTAGTCCTGAATTCAAGTTGTGCGCGTCTATAACTTTATAATGTATATTTCTAATATTTTATTGTATGTGTAATAAAGAAAATGAGCAATGCGAAACTTCAATTAGATATTCAAGTAAGATGTCACATAAAATAATGACACTCTCAACCATGATCGTATATGACTGTGCTCTCGTTGGGAGATAGTCGTCAGCTTCAAAACAACTCCAGGCAGGTATTAATAATAAATTAAGTTCATTTATTTCATAATATATGTTACAAACGTTCACGGTGGGCCGATATTTACTTTACAATTGGGCAAAGCTTGCTTGAGCTCCCTTTGAATGGTCTCATCCACAATTCCTGGTAATCCCCGAACTTTTAATCTCTCTAAATTTCTGAAATACCAAAGCATCGATGTAGATTCAGTTTTAATGCGATATCTCTTATTTTCATACATGCATGTACATACTTCAGTGCTTTTAATTGACGTAGGCCATTATCATCGACACGTTTACAATCTATGATTTCCAATATCTTCAACGTATCTTTCACAATTGACAAACACGTCATAGCTTTATTATCAATATATTCACAATTTTCGAGTTTTATCTCATTTATATATTTGCATCCTTCAAAATGTGCAAATCCGACATCGCATATTCCAGCGTTATTAGCTTCGACAGCTTCGATATAATAATTTCCACTCGATGGTAGTGCATTGAAATCGGTTAATTTTTCAGAGAAACCTTTCCATCTGACAGAGGCTCCGTTTCTCAATAACCATTCTGCACAAGCACGATCTGGTCCAAGTTGTTTTATACGGTCTTCGTCAACTCTTGAAAAATAAGTTTCTTGGATTTATGGTTTTTCATCGTTCTAATGTATTCATTGCCAGAATTGTTTGGAGATAAGCAGTTACCGGCTAGTTCAGTACATGAAGAAAATAAAACGGTACTATCTTACATTACCTATTAAACACAAGAACAATCCAGTAAAAGAAGGGCCTTCGTTGATTCTGTGTACTTTGAAAAATAGCAGTCCCTAATCTGCTGAAGTTCTGAAATGAAAATATGTATCAGAGTAATTTTATTTAGAACAACCTTGATATGAATTTACTTATAATCGTACATAGATAGTCATTTCTTTCAACGGTTGAGAAACACGTGTCAAGGGTGTTCTTTTTTTATACACGTATAAAATGTTCAAAAGTACTTTGTATTTACAATACACACACAGTGTTTCTTATTCTTTTGTTCAAATTGTTGGTTAAGAGTATCGAGCACCAATGGTATGAAGTGAGGTGCAAAAGGTACAATTGAATGTACATACATTCAACTTCTCACAATATCTACGGATCAACAATCCTCCTATTTGTTTTCTTCTTGATCTTCCTAGTTCTCAGCTAGAAAGTAAAACGCACACCTGACATTCGCGTCACTATCTGTCTCTTTCGTGACTATGTCAATTGTATGCACGTGGTCTTTGTTCGCACCCGTTTGCTCTCTTGCTTTTGTTTTGAATCGGTATGGCGGGAGTCAGTAGAAAACACGGACGCTTTTGCAGATCACTCGTGAAAGGATACTTCAGGATACTTACCTGGGGCTTCCATCAATGATCTTCTATCATTCTACGTTACTCGCGTAGCGTAGTCTTTGGATCTTGTATTGTACTTGCCGCCGCCGCCGCGCCGGTTTGAAGAGTCAAAACAAACCTGTGTGATTACGCACAGTAGTGTTGATTCTTACTTCTACGCAACGTATCGCGGGACATATTATCAAACAACGACAACATGAGTCGAAGAAAAAGAGCAAAGGTTTGTTCCATTCTTGTGTTTTGCCGTACTCTATATCGTAGTAATATCGCGAATAAGAACAGTTTTCTAACGAAGGACGATGTGGTTTGTGAGAGTAATAGAAGATTGCTTTTGGTAATTACTGTCATACGATTTAAGCGTTTTTTTATCTCATGCTTGTTGATACAACGATCGGGCAAGTAATAATTCGTATTTACATTCTCGGATTAAACTATTATGTCGTAGTAAACAAACTTAGGTTAGGTCCCAGTTATACGCGTTATTCGCCGCTTATCTCGGCTCCTCAATAATTAGAAGTTTCTCTCTTCACGACTATAATATTACGTGTTACTTGCAAATAGAAATAAAAACATTTTGCATAAATTTTAATTCATAAATAACACCTGAGACGTTTAACCTGTGCGCGTAGGTGGAGTATAGGGAGATGGAAGAGAAATATAGCCAGTTGGACGATGAAAATGCTTCGGATACGTCAGAAAAGTCTAAACCAGGCCTAGTAACTCCAGAGAAGAAGCCTGTGAGCGAAGTAAAAAAGGAAACTGACACTAGTGTACCGTCATCTACCCCTACATCTTCTGTTCCTAAAGTTGAACCAAAGGACGAAGATGATCAAGACAGCGATCACGAAGATCCTCATGGTAAGCAGATTATTTTCAAATCTTTTAGTCCCAGATGATTAAAAATATATCATTTGTATTGCAGTAAAAGAATTGCTTAATGGTTTGGAAGGGGCAGCATTTCAAAGTCGTCTTCCATTTGATAAATTAACTTCTACGGAGGCAGCTTGTTTCCCAGATGTTTCCAATGGTCCGGCACAGACTCAGAAAGTTTTCCTTCACATTAGGAACAGACTCGTAAGTCTAATAGAAATAGATAAAATAACTTAAATCTCTTTTATCTTATTGATAAATATTTTTAATGTAGTTACAGTTGTGGTTGGAGAATCCCAAGCAACAATTAATAGTAGAGAATGCTCTGCCAGCAATAGAACCACCTTATAACAGCGATACAGTATTAGCACGTCGTATTCACGCGTTTCTGGAGAGGCATGGTTTCATCAATTTTGGAGTATTTAAACGACTTAAGGTAATGCATAATAACAGATTTGATCTACGTTAACCTTTCATATAGCGTATTAAATATAAATATAAATGTTAAATATCAATGTTTTATTTCAGCCGTTGCCTACCAAAAAATTAGGCAAGGTAATCGTTATTGGAGCAGGAATAGCTGGTTTAGCTGCGGCTCAACAAATGCAGCAGTTTGGCTTAGAAGTAATTGTATTGGAAGCACGGGATCGCGTAGGTGGTCGAATTGCAACGTTTCGTAAATCGTCGTACATTGCCGATCTCGGTGCCATGGTTGTCACGGGTTTAGGCGGAAACCCTGTAACTACCCTTAGTAAACAAATCAATATGGAACTTCACAAGATCAGACAAAAGTGTCCCCTCTACGAAAGCGATGGTCAAACTGTTCCGAAAGATAAAGATGAAATGGTCGAGCGAGAGTTCAATCGGTTATTGGAAGCAACGTCGTACCTCTCTCATCAATTAGATTTTAATTACGTGGGAAGTACTGGTTCGGGACAAACTAGCAATACGCGGCCGGTTTCGTTGGGTCAAGCATTGGAGTGGGTGATACGTCTGCAGGAGCAAGGTGTCAAACAACGTCAAGTAGCTCACCTGCGTTCCGTACTATCGCTCCAAGGACGGCTTATCACCAATCAACACAGAATGATATCAATCATGGATCGTTTAGTCGAATTGAACAAACAGTATAAAGAGTTGACGGAAACGAAGTCTCAAACGCGTGATATAACGCAAGAATTTGTGTTGCGGTCAAAGGTACGCGATCTTCACAACGCGTGTAAAGAGTGGGATCTACTGGCCGAACAGCAAAAAGAGATCGAAGCGAAACTACAAGAACTGGAAGCCTCACCGCCTAGTGACGTATACTTGTCATCGAAGGATCGTCAAATATTGGATTGGCACTTTGCGAATTTGGAGTTCGCCAACGCCACGTCGTTGTCAAATTTGAGCCTGAAGCACTGGGATCAGGACGACGACTTCGAGTTCACTGGCAGTCATCTAACTGGTAAGTCTTGTAATTTTATACAAACGCTTCGCAACAAACAATGCTTCGCTGTATTAAGTACGATCGGCTGCGCAAATTTTTTTTACTCGTCCAATAAATCAGCCGTAGGCTGTAAATATTATCGATCAGTCAAAGAGCGTGCGACGCGCGTGATTCCTCGAATATCGCCGCACGCGTATTTGTACGTAACGGCATCATATCGACGTTCTCGATAAATTGCTTAACCGATCGGTAGATGGTATGGATAACGACTGAATTATTCGCGGGTTGCATCTTCCTTACAAGCGTTGGGTAGCCTTTCGCACTCCATGTCCGTGCAGTTGACTTTATCAACTTTATTGAAAGTCGATAGCACGAGATTCCGTGTAGATAGTACACCGTATCCTTTAGCCGATCAAGTACCAGAGTTCTCGTTACACGAAATTATACTATGTTTGTTGAGTTCGAATCTACTTCTTCTGCTAATGCCCTAACAAAAACGAAAGCGGTCAGAAATATGACCACAGATAATCAAGCGTTCGCAGGAGAGCTTAGTTCTACGGCTATTTTAACAGAATGGACGTTCCATGCACTTATTAATCGGGACTACAACGTTAATTCGAATGGAATCCGATCTCGTATGAAAGATCACGTTTAGCAAATCGAACAGTAAACGCAATTTTAATAGATACCCGAGGTAGACGTTGTTCGATGTTGCGTATCACTGGAGCGTAACCCAGCGAAGTAACGTGGTCGCGCGTGTCGCTACCACCAAGCACACTCGACTGACAGTGAACGAGCGGACTGGTCGAGTCGGTATCGAGTTCCAATATTGCTTCGCGCCGTTGTTCAACGTTCGACCACGCACTTGAGTGCATCGCGCAACAGAAGCGGACTCGATCGAGAGTGCTCCTTCGACTCGGGTCGAAATCAACGAACGAGAGCAAGTAGGATGCCGCGTCCCAGTGGCCGCCCTCGCCCTTGTTCGCGTTCTTTACGGGGCCACAGCGGCGGCGGCGGCGGTACGCGGCTATGGTGGTCAATTCGAAATTAAAGCGATACTCACGGTCCATGACTGACGTGCATCGATGATCACGATGGTCTGCCCACAGGTTCTTCCCGGCGATTAATGAGATGTAAACAATTTAACGCTAAATTAAGCTCAACAATGGGCTATCCGCGAATCCCTGCTCGAAAGTTGGGCCCCGACAACGGATCCTTCGATAGGAACGGCCTCTTCGCGGTCCCTCGCTCCGGTTTACGGACCATCGATTCCTTCTCGGTTTCGAACGTTCGCTGCAGGTTAATAGTCGCTTACCAAAAAGTGTTTAAACTGATATATTATTTCCGATCCAAATCTACACGTATCTCTTTTTCTCTATCTTCGAAGTTTCGACCAGATTTTCGATCACATATGCATAATATACTAAGATACTAATGAATACCCGACCAGCCTTTTTATTGATTTCAATTCTTGTGGAAATACGGCTGGGATGCATTCCTCGGAGTACAATGTTCTCGTCCGGGTACGATCCGCAGTCAACATTTGGTAGTAAAATTCTGGAATGTACTACACGACCGGAGCCGTAGTCATCACCGTCGCGACGATCTGTTGTTCCTTTTCCGATCGGTCGTATAACGGAGAGTTATCGAGCTTTGTTTGCGAGCGTCGACTGGCCGCGTCGTCAGTGTTTTCGGTCGTTCGTTGTCAATCTCCGGTAGGGTGGAAAGAAACGTAGGTTGTGCGACGAGTATTATGCGTGTATACGCGTATACGTAGCATCGTCGAGATCGGAGAGGTGGATACGGACCCATGAAAGGACCCAGGGATGGGCCATTTACGACATATCGAAGTCTACATCGTTCGTTGACTCCGGTCCTCGCGAGTCAACCATTATATGTTATACGTGCATCGCTACCAAAATCGTGTCAGATGTTTTCGAACGGAGACGGATCGTCACATCGATCTATAGAAAATTTTCTAGCAAAAGTTTCAAACGTTTTCACGGGTATCTGATATTGATTTTCGTTCGGATTTCGACGCGACGTATTTACGAGCGAGAGAAGAATTCGGAATATCTAGACTCGATTCATTCCGTCGAGATCGGAATCGGAGGATCGAGTTAAGGATCTACGTTGATCGCGAGACGACCCGCGACCGGATCCGAGACGCGTTTCGTATTTCCCATAATAAGGTCCCAGTCGGTTCTTTGAGAAATTTACGAACCGAGGGGAATATCGGGGTAATATAAGGAGAATTCGAATGGCGCGCGACTTAACAAGCTTTCATTTTCGATCCCCGATCGATTTCGGAGCCAAGACGTTACAGCAAGGCTTTGTGGAAATAAACGGGATGGGTCGCGACGATCCCCGGCTCCTCATTTGCCGAAACAAGTCCCACTGAAAAGAGCGTAAAATAGAATGTTCTGTTGAGAACGCGTTGACTGTGTTCTCGCGGTGGACCGAACGGGTCCCGGGCCCTGGGCACAGAGCTTCGGGCAACGGAACGTTTCCTCGACGGTTCGAAACGTAGGCAGCTTAACATTAGTTGAGCCCCGAGCTGCGTGGCAGAGGGGGCCCCGAGTGGTAATTTACGAGGTATCGAAGACCTTGTACACTCCTACCCGCCAACGAGCCTGCCTCGCCCCGCGGAATCCAGTCTTGGCCTTAACGCACCGATACCTTTCCCATGACCACTTTCGGACTATCCGTGCACACTCTCTGCTGTACACACGTTCGTACGTATATTGGCGCACGGCTGCTTCTCCGACCCTGGTTTCGCGCGTTTGCGCCTCCACCATTTACAGTGCTCCTCGCGTCGACCACGCGGTGCACAGGTTACGGGTATCTCGTCGATTTAGCGTCTATCCGCTTCGGCCGATCCGTGATCCGCGCGATTTCTCTTCTCAACGTCACCTATCGTTCGTCGTCGACCGATCGCGTTGTCAACAGGCCACGATTTCTTAGCACCGGTCTCTCCTGGTTCCCTTCTTCTGGCTCCCGCGAACAAATGGCTCGCCGACACGCGTCCGGGATTGAGATAGAACCTTTCGTCTTTGTAGGCTCTCACTTCCGTATACATTTTTCCCTGCTGTCTCGCTGCTTTCACCTAGTTTACTTTTACGGGATGATAAGTCGACTCGCCGTCAGTCGGGTATCGTTACGCGTCGAGCAACAAGCGCGAACCGTAATTAGATCGTCTATGAGGCGTTAGATCGCGCGATTCGCTCGAACGGCAGGCAGGAAATTCTGAGTATGACCGATGCGCTTTAAACCAAACCTGGCCAGTGCTAGCTGGATTATAACGTCGGACGGAAAATGCTCGGCCCTATAATTGAATCGTTTCGCAAGAGCTCCGCTAACGAGAAAGTCGTGTACGCCCGATGCCGCTTCGATTAACGTCGATGGGTTTCGTTTGTCGAGATGATTTTATTTCGTTTTCTCGCGAAAACGTTTCATCGAAACGTTTCGAAGGTGGAAAGCGTTTAGCGTTAAGTGGCGTGCAACGATTAAGTACGTATCTTCGTTTTCACGGCACTCGGGTTAGTCGAGTTCCGACCGCGCCGTCAGCGGGGCTGATTTACGCGTGGAAGAGTACGGGACGCGATAACGAAGCTATGCGCGATCGTACGCGCGCGGAATGACGCGTCGAAATTTGCTACGCGCCTGGCCGAGAGTCGCGAGAGTGGATTCCCTTGACGGGGGAGGCGTTAAGTCCGCGATAAATGTTGGCGCTGGTAACGTACTCCGCGTACGAGTAACTTACCGCTCATGAAGTTGTCGAGCCGACGAATTATTTCCTCCCGCGGTTTGTACGATCGACGTCGTCGATCCGTCATCGGTTACGCCTCGTACACTGGCTAGCTGCTAAACGCGCGTACATTCTTTGCTTTATTCTCGCATCCGGATCTCACCGTTTCCCGGTTTAAGACTACATAATAGTAACGTCGGATTTTCGAACTCTCGGCCAGACGCTGGTGAGAACGAACACTTATTTTCACGGCTGTTGTCTGCAAGATGCTATTCGCTTTATAATAGTATATTATTTCCCCCTGCCGACAATCGACTGGCGACGGACGCGCGATTCTCCCCCAATGTTCCTGCCATTCGTTTCCTTCGTTTTAATTAGACCCGTTTCCACGATCTTAATTAGAAGTTTGAACGCGGGGGCGACGGTAGGCTGCCTCGCGGGGCGAGTCTGATTTACTCGAATAATTCGAGCGGCGGGGATAGTGCGATGCTCGTAAACGAAATTGGGAAAAGTCGAATTGGCAATCGAATGATATCGTATATCGTCGAGACAGTTTCTAGTTTTCGTATCGGTATAAATATCGAAGTTCGCCCAGACGCAGATGTAATTTCCGAGATTTCTAACGCAACAGTTTTAATACGAAATGCGAGACGTGGGACGTCTTAATAAGCTCGCGTTCCACTGTTCGAGACCGCGACGAAAATGCCGGCATATTTTTCAAATTAATGCCTGGCAATCGTGGCTGACAATCGTCTCGAAAGCGGATTACGTGACGGGGTGACCGAGAATGATTAAACGGGCCAAGACCATGCGACTGGAAAAAGAATGACGGTGACCATTATATGTTAATGTCGAGCCACACGCTATACTACGATTACGCGATCTTTTGGTTCCTTTCGGTGATAAAAACTTGGATAGTATAGGTGCGTGTCATTTAACTATTTTTCTCAGCTGTTTAGCTAAAATAACGAAGGATATGAAAGTTACGCGGAGATGGAAGGTCATACAGTATTCCCTTCGACGAATGTGAAAATATGCTGCAGGTCAAGCGCGACTTTTTCATCCCTGCTACTAACAAAGAGTTATCTCGCTTTGAACCAGTGAAACGATTAATGCGATATCGCCCTGTTCGGTTCTGTTCCGGTTCGAGTCTGGACACTACTTCACATTTATCGAAGGAATACTGTACATTGGTATTTAGAGCGAACCGAGAAGTCATAGACCGGCGGATAACGCGAATCGTAGACCTTCAGAAGGGAGACGGGTAGCAGCTGGTGACCAGCAGCTTTCAATCTGCCACCCTATACTGCTCGTAAAACTTAGCTGGCCGGTCTAACGACGGTCATTAAGGCGACGATAGAAAAGATTGGGACGCGCATCGTTGGCGATAATTAACGATCGACCGACTGTATATCCTCGTGAACGTGGAACATTATCCGCTGAAAAACCGATGTTTATCTCGATGATGAATTTCAAGTACCCGAAGCCTTTGAGAGAGCTATTAAAACGGAAGCCGGCGCAACGGCACAGGGCGCATCCTTAATATCGTTAATGACGTCCAAATTTGCGAGGGAAATTACTCTTTTAAACGATAAATTTGTAGGGAGTAGCATCGAAATTTATTACGAGGAAATTGCAACCTCCATTAATCTGTTCCTCGTTCCGAGGGATATATTTGTTTGTAGCGATTTTCTGTAAGGATGCGACAATTTTCAACGACGCGTTTGTACCGCGCGTCATCGTATTTGTATTTACTTGCTTACGCGGAGGGAGAGAGAATACGATCGGCTCGACGATTCATGTTTTATTTAACGGATTCTCGAAAACGATCGCGGGACGCTTCTCTCGCAGGCGTCTTCGGAGATTTCTCGCGCGTCGAATTTTATTCCCTCTGCTTGGTAGCGCTCGACGTATAACTATAAATATCCACGGTTAATGTCAAGTGGCGGCCACGAAGCAGCTTGTTTCAAGTGAAACTCTATCTGTCGATAGGTTAACTGCTGGTCATAGGATTCGCGGTGAGTTGCTTTCCCCCGGTGCTTGCTTCCTGGCTCGTAGCGTTCGATTCTTATTAGGTGCGATCTTCGGGAACTCGCGAGAGAATCGTGAGCAGTATGTACGAACGAACGATACGTTTGCGCGAATCAATGGTCCGTGGTCAAATTAAATTTCATTTGATCTCGCGGTTTCATAATTCAGAACTAAAATACCACTGATTGCCGGAAAACGATTGACCTAGCCGAATTAAATTACTAATAAATTGCCCGAGTTAATCGAGGTGCGCTTATCACATTATCGCCGTTCTGGTGAAATTCGTCACTTGATGGTGGGAGATGAACC